AAAAAAAAAATAGTTAAGATGGCCAAGTTTATGTATCCTTTACCACACACGAAGTGTCCTGGCCCTGTGTGAAGGGCCCAGCTGCCATCAGTTAGGTTTCCAGCCAGAGAGCGTGGACACAGCTGTCAGCTGTCAGGGAGTTGGCTGACAGTGCCCTCACCCCAGAAGCACCTGGATCCCTGTTGTTTCTTGGGGACCAGATCCTGCCTGTGCCTCCAAGCATGGCCTGTCCCAAGCCCCTATGAGGTTGGCTCAGGGTGGGCTGTTGCTTTGATACACACCTCTAGGCTGGAGGAGGCACCCCCTCCTAGGGAGTGGGGGTGAGGGTGGAGAGGGGTCCTTGCACTATCGCCGCCTGCTGCCCCACCAGCCACACTGTGAGCCTGAAGCTGGACTGGCCCACCGTGAAGGTGCTGGGCTCCCAAGACTCTTCCACACATGAAAATGAGGTGCTTTTCATGACAAATCAGTGGACAGCTGTCATCCAGCTGAACTCTGGATCATCATGTAGTTTTTTCTGTTAACCCTTCTGACTTTTTTTTTTTTTAAGATTTTATTGGGGAATTAGGGGAGGGGAACAGCATTGGGGAATCGGGGAAGGGGAACAGACAAGTTGCTGTCCTTTTGTTCTTCAGTCTAGTGTGGAGGATGTGGCTTCACTGGCCCATGTTGGTATTATCATTGCACTCTTGATATGGCCGGTGAGGCAGTCGCTCACTGGCCATTGGACGGCCATGCACGGCGGCTCACGAAAGCTCATGAAAGCTCACAAAAGCTCATGCCAACTGCTGGCCAGCCCCACTTCAGCCTACGCCTTCACCAGCGACTCACAGCAGCCCAGCTCCAGGTCGAGCTGTTGTTCACTATCTTAGCTGTAGAGGGCACAACATCACTGGCCCTCATGTGGGGTCTGAACCGGGGCCCTGCTGCTCAGAGCTGGTGTCCCAAGCCAACTCTTAACCAACGTACCACTCAGCCAGCCCCCTTCTGACCTTTTAAAAACATAGATCAGGGTACAAGTTTTTGTGCAAAGGGCCAAACAGTAAATGTTTTCGGCATTGCAGTGACCCAGCTCTGCAGGGCACAAGTGGCATGGGAAGCATGTCAACGAGAGCATGTGGCCGGCATTGGGCAGTAGTTGGCTGGCAGATGGTCTCCTTTTCCAGTTCTTTCTTAGAAAACTTCTGCTGGGCAAGGCCAGCTGTGATAAAGCACCCTAACAGGCTCTTATCTGAGGCTGGCACATGCTGTGGTTTAGGGGGCTGTTCCAAAGCGGGAGGGGAGGCCCCTGCCCTCCTGTCTGCTTTGTCATGTCTGGTTGTGGCTTCTGCGTAATTTTTCTCACTGAGATACTGGGGCTCCTCTCTGCTGAGCTACCCTCCGGGATAAACCTGCTGTGGGATCTCTGAGCTGGGGGTGGGTAATGATCACTGGGGTGGGTCCTTGCCTGTCCCTGACAGTGGCCCCTGACCTCCCGAGGATCTTCATTCTAAGCAAACAAAATGACATGTGAACTTGGTCCTTAGGCATGCTAGCCCACTTCCAGTGTTCAGCAGCCATGTGGGCTTAAAGAATTAACAGACTGATCATGTCTGCATCCTCCAAAAGGTTCCATGGGGTGGCACTGAGCGGGCGCTTCCGTGAAGTGGTCATCTGACACCTGCATGTCCGCACGGCTGCCTCAAGGGCCCTGGGCTCACACACCCTGCTGCGCCTTTTGGGGTCATTTCCTCCCTCACACCCTATCCAGGGAGGAAGTGAAGGGCCCCGTATCCCCACTCCTGGGCTGCTGCTGCCAGAGAAGATGGGCTCAAATTAACAGCTTTATTTTAAGCAAAATACAGGCACATGTCAAGGGGAGACCCCACTGTGTATCCAAGCGCCAGGTGGCCAAACTCAGTGCCCTCACCCAGCCCCTCTGGCTCCCAGTCTGTCAGTGTGGCCTTCCACGGCCAGGTGATGGAAGGACCCCTGATGGGCAGGGGTCATGCAGGGGGTTCCTCTGTCCACATAGCTCCACAGTGACTCCCAAGAGCAGAGTCCCCAGCTCAGCAGGGCAAGTAGTGCATGCGGGCAGACCCCAGCCTTGCCCCCGTTCCTGAGAGGGGGCCCAGGGACAGCCACAGGCATGGGCTGGCCATGGGGTGGCACTCAGCCACAGCTAGACAAACTCTGGCTGCCTGTCACAGCTGCTGCCCGGCCCATGGAGCTTCACACCGGTGCACTGTGACAGGCCCTCCCAGTTCCCATCCTCCCTGGTGGAGGCCCCCAGTGGCTCCTCACTGCCGCTGTCCTGGGCCTCTTCCACGCTGGCTGCACTGCCCTGTGTCTCCAGGAAGCTGAGGCCATGCAGGCTGCCTCCAGACACCGGGGACAGCACATCTGGGGCCTCCTCCAGCTCTGAGTCAGAGTCATTGGAGGCGATGTGGGACTCTGGTGGGTCTGTGAGGGAGACACAGGGAGAGACGGTGAGAGATGGGGGCGACAGAAATGGAGAAAGAAAAGGAGAGAGAGAGAGGGAGATGGGGAGAGAGATGGAGAGGAGACAGAGAGATGGAGATAGAGACAGGGAATGATAGAGAAATGAAGGGAGAGATATGGAGACACAAGGAGGAAGAGAGACAGGGAGATGGAGAGAGACACAGAGGGGAAGAGACGGAGAGAGAGAAATGGAGGGAGAGAATTAGAGATGGGGAAAGAGGGAGAGACAGAGACGGAGCGATGGAAAGAGAGAGGGAGAGACGGAGAGAGAGATGGAGAGACAGGGAGAAAGAGGGAGAGGGAGGGAGAGATGGAGAGAGGAGAGGGAGGGAGAGATGGAGAGAGGAGAGGAAGAGAGAGAGAGACAGAGGGAGAGGCAGAGACAGGAACCCCATTGGGCACCGAAGGCTGCACCACTCACCTGGGCCCCCATCCCCAGCCTCCTCCTGCAGGGGGAAGGCGGCAGCCCCCTCACTGGTCACTGAGTAGGGCACCTGAAGCAGCACCTCGGATCGCTGGGTGATCATCTGGTCCTACAGGGGTGGCAGGGAGGTCAGGGAGGGACCTGGCATCCTGCCCATCCAAGCTGTGTTTTCTGTCTAGTGAACTAGCCATATTACAAAAGTCCCTAACAGTTGTCACCACCCACTGCAGCTGAGGATGTGAGGACCCATGTCACGATGTGCTCCCATGACACGAAGGGCCCCGGGCACCAGGGGAAGATAAAGACCGGAGGCGAAGGAACTTAAACCTGGAGCAGCTGTTGGGACAAGAAACTGACAGTACCTGCAGAAACCGAAACAATGGGCTTGAAATTAAAACCCAGCAGCCAGGTCAAGTGGCAGGTTTGACCCAGCAAGGGACAGGAGCCAGAGCTGTGTGAACTGTGGGGGACTCGAGGCATCTCCCCCCAGATCTGAGCCCACACTTCATCAATTCTTTGCTTAAAGGACTGCTTAGAGGCCACCTCTGACAATGGGGGGAAACCAGACACCTCCCAGCCCCTTCTCTGCACCCCACAGCAGGCAGACTCCAGCCCCACTAATGCAACCGTGGCCCTTCGCCCTCCCCCCAAGGGAACAGCCCTAGGGTCCACCCGCAGCCTCACCGAGTCCCCCGCCACTTCCTCGGGTTCCTCCTGAAAGACCAGGTTGTAGTGGGTGATAAGGGTCTCCACGATGCGGGCCTGGTGGGGGTAGTCAACGAGGGACGAGAGGGACACGGTGGCCTCGGTAGGCCGAGGCCGCAGCAGCGTGGGTCCGAATACGATGCCCAGGTTCCCGGGGGTCATCTTATTGTCCTGCTCCACCTCTACGATCCTAAGGGGCAGGGGTGCAGGAGCAGGTGAGAGCGACTCCCTGGTCTCCGCCCCCCTGGTCCCCTGCCCCGCCCGCCCTTACCTGCGCAGGTGCCGCAGCAGGTACTGCAGCGAGGCTCTGTTCTCCGGCGGCAGGTCTCGCAGGAGCTCCCGCAGCCGGCCCACCATGGCCACCGACGTAGCCTCGCTCTCGGCAACGTCTGGACGGCCCCGGGCCGCCGCTTTAGCCTCGGCCTCCGCCTTCAGACTGTCCTTGGCCAGCCCCACGAGCTCGTGGTAGAGGCGGAAGGAGATGAGCGGCTCCGGAAGCTGCGGAGCGACAGGTTGGGGGTCAGTGGACCTGCCCCAGCCCGGTCAGGTCCTGCCCTGCCCTGCCCCCGGCTTAGCAGCCCCGCCTCTGCCGGGCACGTCCCACCTCCCAGCCCCCAATCAGACCTGCCGCTGCCCTGGCCACGCCCCCAGCACCAGCTCCGCCCCTGCAAGGCACTGGTCTCGCCCACCCCACGCTGGCCACACCTCTGCCAACACCCGAACTGGTCCAGACCCAGCATCTGCTCTGCTCCAGCCCCATCGGACTCACCTGGCGTAGGTAGAGTTTGAGGACGTTGCTGATGTCATGAGGTGAGGCCTGCGACAGCTCCACCAGCTCCTTGCCGTTCTCGAAGGCCTGGCACAGCTTCTCCACGCGCGTCTTCACCCCATTCACGCGATAGATGCCCTGTGGGGGCTCATGGTCAGCCTCCGCCCAAGCTTACCTCCCTGCGCCCCCAGGAGCGACCCCCGCCGCCCTCCTGGCAGTGGTCACCTTGGTGCGCAGCGCTCGCCTCTCTATTTCACTGACGCACTTCTTGATGATGAATGGCACTCCATCAGGGGTGCTGCGAGCTGCTGGGCCGAAGTCCTGGCCGAAGAGCTGCAAGCGGCCCTGAAGCTTCTTGTGGCCGCACTGGATGGCCAGGGTCTCCAGACACTTCTTGTGGCAGGCCAGGCAGCACTGGGGGCCGTGCAGAGTGAGAGGACAGCCCTGGCTACCTCTCCCCCTCTCTCTTAAACCCTAAGAACCCCCCTACAGGGCATCTTCTGAAAGCACTATCCCAATTGTCTCTCTCAGAGTCCTCCGTGCTCTGCATGGGACCTTCCTGAGCACTCACTCAGGTGCCCCGCTCCCCTGGCGCCCAGCTGTCCCTGGGGCCCAAACTCACCTCCTCGCACTCGGCACCCTGGAAGTAGACATAGCTGTTGCACTCCCGGCACTTCGCCGGCGAGCGCAGCTTCCGGAGCCGGTGCGTGCGGGCTGCCTTGGACAGCCCCATGTGGCGGAAGGGCCCGCTGGGCACAGCCACTGAGAGCTCAGGGGCCATGCCATTGAGGTCAGCTGGGGGACAGGACAGGCGGTCAGTGTCACTGAGGCAGGTCAGGACCAGGCCCACAGGCTGAGTCCAAACCCCCTCTCACCCCACTGCCAGGATCAGGGGCCCCCTCACCCTGCTCAAATGCTGAAGGCTCTGCACTGCCCTCCTGGTCCACCAGCTCCTCACTGGATGACATGGTGCCACTGGACGACATCCGTTCCAATTTCTTAAAGTCCCCTGAGCAGGAAATAGGGGTATCAGACACCCTGAGCCAGAAGGGAGCAGGCCTCCGATCTGCCAGGTGCTCCAAGGGCCCTGGACTGGCACACTCCCCATCACCCGGGCCACGTGGCAAGCTCTGCCCCCAGCCAGCTGAATGGGCCCTTCACCTGAGCCAGGGCTGGGATCCAGGCTGCCCTCGGAGTCTGACACAGAGATGGGCCAGGACTTGTGCACCTGGTGTCCGCGCCCACCTGCAGAAGGAGGCATCTCCAGTGAAAAGTAGAGAAGGGCTGCCCGGTGGCTGGGTCCACCCTCCCTGCCCCCACCCCTGCCAGGTACTCACCCCTGCGCTCTTTGGCAAGTGCCCCATCACTGGACCCACCTTCCTCCGGAGGGCTGCCGGCGGCCTCTGCTCCCATGGCATCGCCAGCATTGAAGCTGCCCTTTTGGGCTCGCATGACCAGAGACCTGGTGGGACCAACAGCCAGGAGGGGCCATGACGGGGGTCACACTCACATGCCCATATCAGGTGGAAAGACAGCTCCCCGGGCCCACGCCCACGACCATACCAGGTATTGGTGGAGACATGGGGCTCAAAGTCGTAGTCCACATCAGGCTCCTCGTCGCGCTGCAGCTGACGCACATGGGAAGCGTACTGCTGGCCCGGGTCGTACAGCTTGCTGCTCTCACAGAGCATCTGGAAGTGCACGGGCAGCGGAGCCGTCTGCATGTGCATCATCTGGTAGTAGGAGATGGTGGCCTGTGGGGTGCACATGCGGTGGGATCAGGAGGCTGCATGGGCAGCAGCCCCGCCTCCCCACAGCAGGAGCATGGGGGCACCTGGCCTGGCACCCACCGACTTGATGGTTTGGTCACTCTGCCGGATGACCTCCTGGATCTGTCGGAGCACTGTCACCTTGGTGTCCTCCAGCTCCTGCTTCTGTGTCTTGGCGTCTGCCACACAGGTGCGGTACGTGGCCATGGCTTCCTCTGCCTGGGATAGGGCCGAGGGGCTACACAGTGAGGCCTCAGCCTGGGGTTCAAGCCCCACACAGAAACCCAGTCAGCAGAAGAAGGGAGGCTTTCCTGGCAGGACACACAGCCTGGGCAAAGGTCCAGAGGTGACTGTCACCGTGGGGCTTCATCCTCCACTGCACCCTCCCCACCCGCCCTCACCTTGTTCTTGGCTTCTTCCTCCAGGCGCCGCCGCTTGTCCAGGGCCTTGGAGGCCGTGCCCCCTGCGCCAGACCCAGTGCCCGCCTGCTCTTCCTCCGCCTTGGCCACCAGGAGAAGGGCCTTGTCGTGGTCCTCACAGCGCTGCCCATAGCCTTGCTTGGCCTTACGAAGGTTGGATTCTGCTTCTTGCTGCGGGCATGGGAGTGAGGAGGCCAGTTCCAAGCCGTCCTCTAACTGGGCTCAGTGTCCCCGGCTTTCCCCTCCCTTCCCACCCCGGCAGCCAGACACCAAGGCAGGCACAACCACGACCCACATCTAATGCTGAAATCTCATGGCCCAGTCAGGCAAACAGGCCTTTGCCTAAGAACTAACAGTGGAACAATAGGAGGTAACACCTACAGTGGGACCCCAAGAGGAACCAGCGTCTGCTGTGCCCATTTGACAGCCTAGGAAGCTGAGGCACAGTTAAGATCTGAGCAAGGCACAGACCACATCACCCCGTGACACCAACGCCTACCCCCGCCAGAGCGGTAGGCGATGGGCAACGTGTGCTCTCTTTCACTTCCTCTCTTGCAGACAAGAACAGTGCAGCCACCCAGGCAGGAAGCCAAGAACCCTCTGGATTGCCAGGTAGAGCACTTAGTCAAAACCCATGTGCTCTACAGGGCCACACCTCACAGCCCGCACCATCAGAGACTTAAAATAAAGAAAAGAACTCATACAGGTACTAGGAGGAACCAGGGAGGGAGGAGTTTTTTTAAATAACCACAGTATGAAGGAGGCCTTTCCATGCAAGACACAAAGCCCAGAAAGTATGAGACTGCTGCTGACAATCATGGGTTGCTAACCTGGCAAAATAGGCCACAGGTAAATTAAAAAGTCCAAACCATAAACTGGGGTGTGTGTGTGGGGGGTCTGTAACGCACATCATCAGGGGCTGAGCTCTCTAATATGTAAGAAGCAGGCCACAGTTGGTCCAAAGGGAACAAAAGGTACGGACAAGAGTTCACAGATGCATGAAAGCATGGCTCTGGCTCAGGCGGGTAGTTCGCACACTCACACCCCAACCCAGCCCTTCCCTTTGGGTACAAGTCTGGAATAAATGCTTGGTCACACGTCTGAAAGACAGGCACAAACTTGTCACAGCAGTGGAGTTTGAAACAGCAGCAGCTCAGCAACAACTAAAATGTACATCAGCCTGGGTTTAGTGAAATAAGCCACATGGCCTCCAGCTGGCACCCAAAAAGGGCCGAGAAAAGGGAGAGGGTGCTTTACATGGACTGAGATGGGTCAAGCCTCTGTGGGGTGAGCGCACAAGGCCAGGAGCAGAACAGGGTGCTCGGCAAGCTGTCATCGAGTGTACAAGAGGTAGGGAGATGTGGATTTGCTGGTATGTGTCAGAGCTGGGGGGGTGGGGGCAGCAGGTCCAGGAGACACCCCCGGGGTATCGCGGCCAGGAGGGGGTGGGCACAAGAGGCCAGAAGCGGTGGGGGGTGGGGGGTGGGGTAGAATGGCCTAGAAGAAAAACTGGAGAATAACATGCAGGGACCTGGAGCATCCACCAGACCTGAGCTTCAGTCTCTCTCCAACCCAGACTTGCTCCTCCCAACTACGGTGACACCCTTTCTCCATAAATCTGAACCCACAACAATGGGTGCTGGGTTCCTGGGGCCTCCCCTGCACAGCTGGGGCTGATGGGGCTGGAACATCTTTAAAACAGGACCCACTCCAACCTGTGACAGCATGGCCAGCCCCACAAGGGCACAGGCCACAGCGCCCGGTGCCCACGGAACAGGAAACCACAACAAGGTCTCCACCTGGGACTGCAACTGCGCAGAGGCCAGCCTGCCCCCCCCCCATCCCCGCTGGTACCAGCTTCCTCTGCGCGCGGTGCCACAACTCCTTGATCTCCTTCCTACGCTTCTCGTGCTCAAGCCGCCGCAGGTTCAGGGGCTAGAGCAAGACAGGCCATAAGTAGAGGACCCCAGCACCACCCGCCGGCCTGCCCTCCTGGGCACAGCCCACCTGCATGAAGGTCTGGGTCTGCAGCGTGCCCACTGCCTGCACCATGCCGTAGCCAAACTCCAGGTCCTGCTCCAGGGCCAGTGAGTAGATGGACAGGAGGGGCATGTGGGGCTGTGGAGGTGGGGCCGGCGGTCAGGGGACAGCACCTGGAAGCCCTCCCTGGTTCCCTTAGCCACGGAGCAGAGATGGGGAGCCCCTTCCCTTTGTTCCTCCATGGAGGAGCCCCTGCCATGTGCCCCGTGGCCCCACCTCCTGCATGACACTTTGTCTGCAGTTGTGGACAATCTTCTGCAGGCCTTTGGCGAAGTCCATCTCTGCGGGCAGGAAGGGGAGGCGAGTGAGGGGAGGAGATGGGGAAGGAGCAGGGGTGAGGGGAGAGGGCATGGGAGGAGGGGCAGGGGCGGGTAGGGGCGGGGCAGGACATCTGGCCAGACCACACCCTGGGCCAGTTCTCACCTAGTGCAGTCCGCTTCTCCAAGTAGCCTATGAGGTCCTTCATGTACTTGGCCATGTTCTTGGCGTAGTTCAGGGCCGTGTCCACCCCGCCCTCACAGCGCTGCAGCAGCTTGTCCACATCTTCGGGCAGCAGGCAGCCTGCGGGGTGGCCACTCAGCCAGAGCTCTACCACCAGCCCACCATCATCCCCAGTCTACCAGTCAAACAAGCACTGGCCTACCTATGTGCAGTTCAGGGACTCACCTGTGTCACAATCCTCTGTGCTGGGAGGGTTGCCCTCACTCCCCTGTCCGTACAGGTTCTCCATGGACTGTGCAGAGGGAGACCCAGGTGAGTCCAGCCCCATGCTGGTCACTGTCTGATGCCCACCCTGCAGGAGACTGCCATTGCCCCCAGACAGAAGCCACCTCTGCTTACCTGGCTTGGGTCCCCGGGGGGCACTGACAGGAGGGTGCTGCTGTCCACTTCACCCATGAGGAACTCAGACACACTGCAGGGTGGTGGGGAGTCTGCATCCAGAAGCACACAGGCCCACAACCTCCATCCCCTGCCCCAATAGCCCCCATGCTCACGTGCTACTGAAGGAGACAGCGATGGTCTCCAAGGCCTTCTCAAATTCCCGCTTGTCCGCCTCATTGTTGCATTCATAATGGAAGGCTGGGGACCAGAGACAAGGGTGAAGGGAGTTGGTCCACTCTGGGAGGTGACCACCCCTGCAACTAACCGAGGGGCCCTTAGCCCAGGGGGAGCATTGGAACAAGAGTGCCCATCAAACTTCTATGCATCTTTCAAAACCCACTTCAAACATCCCCTTTTCCAGGAAGCCCTCCAGGGCAGAAAGTCCTTACTGCCCTGTCCTGACCGGCTGACCTTTGACCTTGGCAATGAGGGTGCCAGCAGCTGTGAGCGTCTCCACAGTGTTCAGCAGTGGGTACTTGCAGATGACCTGGCGCATCACTCGTAGTGCCTCGCCCAGGCACTCATGGGCCAGGGGTCGGCGGGCCTCGAGGAGTTCTGCTGAACAGAGTTGGTATGAGCAGGAAGGGAGGAGCCCAGCCCCAGGAAAAGCCTATCTACCAGTTCCTCAAAGCTCCCATCCCCAGGTGGGGAAACTGAGGCAGAGGTGGGAGAGGACAGCTCTCTGAGGCTCACCATGGGACCTCAGGCGGGGCACTGTCCCTCTCTGGGGTGCTGACCAGGGCAACAAAAGTTGCCTAGACCTTGGCCTAGGCAGTTCCTTCTGCTCAGAATACTTTCCTTGTACCTCCAGAAAGGAAACTGTTGCTTGTCCTTCAAGTTCAGTCCTGATGCCTTCTCCTGCATGGCCCCTTTCCTGCCCCAACCCCTCAAGGCTGCTCAAGGCTCCGTCCAGCAGTCCCTGCCTACCTGGGTGCCCTATTATTTCACTCTCTTCCGAAAGCCACCCCATAAGGCAGGCACTGTTATCATCCCCATTGTGCTGATGAGGAAACTGAGGCAAAGAAAGGGGAAGTCATTTCTCAAGGATCATGAAGCTTTTTCATCTACACTATGAAAACACAAGACTGCCAGGCAGAAGGACCCTCCCTGCCTGGCCTTATCTCACGGTCAATGGGGAACCATAGAAGATGGCAGAGCAAAGGAAGGTTGAGGCTAACTCTGCATTTTAGAACTGTGGCTTTAATATGCCCTCCTCAAATGTTCTTCAAAGCAACTTGAGCCAGCAGATCAACATGGACAAAACACACGCCATCTAGTGGAAGCAAAACTGTGCAGCGCATGGAAGAGGAGGATGGCGCTGAGGCCCAGGAGGGCCTGGTGGTCAGTTGGGAAGACAGCTTTGACACCTGTGGGCCCTCTGACTCTGTGCCTGGTAGATGCTGCTCAAAAACATAAGTGGAACCTGAAAATAGGTGCCCTGTCTCTTTTCAGTGATAAGGACCCCCTTGGATGGCCCAAGATTCCACCCGGGCCATCCCCAGCCTTGGAACCTGGGGGTCCTGAATCTGAGGCCAACTCAAGGGGGTGGGAAGGGGCTGCAGGAAATCCAGGGAAGCCAACTCTGGAAAATCCAGGTTATGCATCTTTCCAGGACATTCCTTTCATGCACCCCGCCACTTGCATTGGCTGGCCTCAGCCACCTGGGTCCCTACAGCACCACCCCGGAAGCTGACAGCTAGCTGGTGGGACTCTGACAAAGCCCGGACATGCCCAGCCCAGCCCAGCCAAACCAAGCACGTGGCAGCTGCTGCGTCCCCAGCGGGCCGCCACAAATGCCCCAAGGATCATGTGCTCCTGGCTGGGCTGGAAGACCCCTGCACCCTGCACTGTCCCCTCACCTCGGGGCCCAGAGCAGCAGTATACCAGGCACTGGTTTAGCGCCAGGTGCACAGTCCCTCAGATACACATGAGGGGTCAGATACACATGTCAGGGGTCTTACAGCCAAACCAGCTCTGGCTGGTCCAGAGGCCCCACCCCCAATGAGGGAAGCCCCACACCACCTGGGATCCTGCTTACCCAGGCCAGGGTCCTTTGCTCCCCCTGACTCAGGCAGGGTGCAGGAGTCTGGAACCCAAGGCGCCTGGATTCAGGGTGGGGCATGCCGAGGGCAGGTGAGGAAACTGAGGCCCAGCACCAAAGCACAGCGTGCCAGGAGGCACTGGGAGACCCTGCCCTACCCACGTACAACCATCCCCTCTGGGACAAACAGCAAGAGGGTCTTCAAGGCGAGGCGTGCATCTTACTGTCCCCACAATAGTCACAATATTTGGAAAACACCTGGCTACAGTCATTAACCTGGGAAGGATCGTTGCCCGTTTCACAGATATGACACCTGAATGAAGCTTGGAGAGGGCGGCAGCTGGCCCAGGCAGCTGGGCAAGCAGGGGCAGCACCAGAATTGGAACCAATATCCTCTCTGCTCAGGCCCTTCCCCAGGCCCAGGATGTCCCAGGTACAGAGAAGGGCATTCTCACCCCATCCAGACACCCTCCCTCTACCCCATCCAGACACCCTTTTGGACTCAGCCCCACCCAGGCCTGGCCTCCAAGGAAGTGCCAGGAAAGGAACTGAGATTAGAGTTTCCCCAGGAAACAGCTCTGACCTCAGCTCTGGGACCAGATAACCCTGGGGGCTCCCACCCCCACCCAGCAGGGACTGGTCTCTGCACAGAGCCCGTAGTTAGTGCCCTGAAGGCGCAGAAGCTGCAGACAGGTTGGACCTGGCTCTGGCCCCTCCCTAGCTGGACAGGCCCCCACTACAGGCCTCAGTTTCCCCATCTGTAAAACTTGCACCTGGGGGGAGTGGGTTAGAGTGCTTGGCAGGGCCCTGGCACTGTGATTTCTGGCGAGTGGGCAGTGAATGAAATGCTGTGCCTGCCCACCAGGGCTGCCAGGGACAAACAGGAAACAGATGAAAATAACTCAGCAGGAAGCCAGGCTGTCAGTAGAGTGGAGGAGAAAACGGAACTGCCACCCCACAGGCTGCTCACGCCTGCAGCTCACAAGCTGTCCTGCTCCTTGTCCCTTCTCACCCTCCCCATCCAGACCTCAGCTTGCCTCCAGTCTACCTCTGCCCAACACACAGATCAGACTTTGTCCTACTTCTGCTCTAACATCTACTGTGACTCCCCACTTCCCTCAGGATAACGTCCAGGGTCCTTCTGCCTGACATCCTCAATGCCTTCAGCAGCACACAATTCATATACCACTGACACGCCAAACCTTGTTTCCCCCAATGCAACTCCATTTCATGTATCTGAGCCTGTGTACAGGACATTCCCTCTGCCTCAATGCCTGTCCCTCCTAGTTGCCACCAAACTCCTATACATCCCTCAAAGCCTTAGCTGCAGTGGCTTTTTCAATGAAGCCCTCCCTGCAACCCCCTTCTGAGCCTCCCCAAGTCCCTCCCTCCACCCTGCCTTGACTCCACAGGGTTTGGGATATCTGTGTTCGACTCTGCCTTCTACCCAGGCCTCCGTGTCCCTGCTGGTTCTCACCATCATGCAAAACACATTCCTTGAGCTTCTCCAGGCCCTCTGCAAAGCGGGCCACATCAGCCAGGAGGTGGGAGATGTCCTCCACAGCATCGGGGCAGGGCCCCTCGATGGGTGGCTCAGCAGGGCTGGCTGCTGTCAGAGGGCTGCGGTGGCCCCGGCTTAGCGTCCAGGAACTGGCTCCTGACAGTGGGAAGCCAGCGGCGCTGGCATGGCGGCTCAGGCTGGTAGGCCTCTTGAGTGTGCCTGTAGCCTTGGCATTGCAGGCCACACTCAGTGGCTCCAGACTGGGTCCCAGGTACACGGCATCAGCCCCATCTTTCCTGGGCAGCTCCTGGTGGGGGGGGTGGTAAAGTAGGTGCTCTGGCCCAGGCACTACCTCAGTTTCTCCAGAAGTGAAGTGAAGCTCTGGAGGGTCTCTAGCCTGACCCCACAGGGGTCAAAAGCCAGAGGTCGGAGGGCTGAGATTTGGGGCCATGCCCCCCCCCACCTGTTACCCAACATCCTCTTCCCCAGAGCTTTCACAAACAACGGTCTCTGCCTAAACCACAGCCAGGGGCGGGGCCTGCGGGGGTGCGGGCACCCCACTTCCTGGTGGGGGTAGGGTGGGCCAAGAGAGGGTTCCTGCTCTGTAGCCCCCCTCAGGCTGCTACAGACACACCTACTCCCCGGTAAAGTTACCTCCGTCAATTCCTATATTCTAAGGAGACTGCTGAGTCCAACGGACACCCCCAAACTGTGTGGACCCCCAGGGCCCTGGAGGCACTACACCCAGGGATCCTGTTAGAGGTTTTGCTCTACTCTAAATCTTCCGCCCCAATGGCTGTGTCATATCGCTCACATCCAACAGCACCGGAGCCCCCAAACCCCCTGAGACCCCACCCTACAGAGTCTTGACTCAATGCCAACCCCACCCTGGCACTCTACACTCAGTTCCTGGGCCTCACAGCAGGCCCTTGGACAGGACAGGGGTGGCACTGGCCATCCCAAAGGGCTCCTACCACAAGCTGAACGCCAGGGTCTCCTCTGGTCCTGCTTGGCCCCTGCAGTCCTGCCTGGTGGGGACTGTAGCTGGCTTGAGCCCCCCACCACTGGACCAGCATGTTGCTGCCAGGCCTCTGCCCTGCTGCCCAAGCAGAAGGTGCGTCCCTGTGCCTCTGTTGCTCCAAGGTCCCCGCCCGCTCCACCTCCCCAAAGAGGCTCACTCACCCCTGAGGGCTGCGGGCTGGGGCTTCCCGCCCGGTTCTTTTTCGAGATGGAAGGGGTTTTCATGAGTTCGCGCTTCTTCCTGGAGAACATGGTGGGTCCGGCCCAGCAACCCAGACAGGTGAGCTGGGGGTGGGCAGGTCAATGGGTCTCAGCACAGCAGCTCCTGGAGCTGGCCACCTTGGGACCACATTGTCACCAGCCACCCCCTCCCCAGCTGTCAGGCCCACGTGACAAGCCCAGCCCTCATTGGTGGGCCCTCCCCCCACAGGAAAAGGCCTCCGGAGATGGTGACGCAGACTCACCCCCGACTCATCCCAGCCTCAGCCTGCCCCTCCACAGAGTGGGCTTGAAGGTGGGGTCCCAGGCGCCGCCCCGAGCCCAGGCCCCACCTCTGGCTTCCACTTTCCCCGAGCTCTGCATGCATTGAACTGGGCGCTGATGCCTGGCACTGGTGCCCCCTGCAAGCACAGGGGAAGCACACAGTGGCTGATCGCACAGGTGTTGACCCTCACTCAGACACACACAGACGCAACCAGGAGTACAGACAGGTGGGCACAATGACATGTGGGCATGATTACACGCAGGGGCAGGGACACTGACACAGGCACACAGACACTTTCATGCAGAGACACTGACACACAGAAACACAGGAACAGAGTGATACAGGGACAATGACCCTTGAGGACACTGATGCACAGGGACACAGGGACACTGATGCATGGGGACACTGATTTGTCAGGACACTGGGACACAGGGACACAGGGACTCAATAACAGTCACAGGGACACTGACATAAGGACACAGAGAGACTGACTTGCAGGGACACTGATACACAGGGATGCAGGGATACAATGGCACTCACAGGAACACTGATACACAGGCATGCGAGGACACAGCAACACTGACACACAGTATCTCAGGGACACTGACACACAGGGACACTAGGACTTAGGAACACTGACTTGCAGAGACACTAGCACACAGGGACATTGGCATACTGGGGCACAAGGACACTCACAGGGACACTGACTCACAGGGATACAAGGACACAGTAACAGTTGCAGAGACACTGACACACAGGGATGCAGAAACACTGACTTTCAGGGTCACTGACACAGAGGGATGGTGGGACACAGGGACACTGACACACGAGGACACAGGGACACAGGAACACTGACTCACAAGCACACTGACTCACAGGGATGCAGGGACACTGAGGGACACACAAACACTGACATACAGTGATGCAAGGACACAGGGATGCAGGGACGCAGAGATGCAGGACACTTGGATGCAAGGACACAGGGACAGTGACACACAGGGACACGAGGACAAGACTTGCACACATGCTCAGACTCCAGGAAGCTCCATAGATTAAACGGGTGACCTGGAGCTTTGTACTCAAACCCAGGACACAGACACCCATCCTCTCACTGGTGTGCTTGCCCCAAGTCCTCTGGCAATGGCTCCCTGCAGACTCCAGGGCCTGGGCCAGGCAGGTCATAGTAGGTCACCCTCTTAGCTTGGTGTCTGCATTGGCCTCAGTTCAGCTCCTCACCCTTACCATACATTCCAGGGACATATAGACTGACCATCAACATGCTGACAGCAGGGCTGACAACACCTGAGGCTGTGATCCATCTCCTCACATCCTAGCTGCAGCCAATAGATGGAACTTCAGCTGTGTATAGATCCCCACTTCCCGCTATGCTCCCGGGACCCCCTCACCTCCCTTCATGACTACCTGTTCTTGGAGCTCCCCACCCCAGTCTGAACCCTCTCTTCTCCCCTTTCGGAGTTCCACCCCCCAAATCCCCAACGCTTTTACCCAACATGGGCACTCAGTGACCTCAGGTGGGAGCGGTGGATCTCCAGGGCATAGGGCACACGGGCCACAGCCCCTCATGCCAACCTGGCTCTACAGGCCCAGGGCCATCCACAAACCCAGTCGAGAAGTCCCCTGAGGGTCTTCTGCCCACCACTCATTGCTCTGGGGCTGGGATCAGGAGGTGAGGGTTAGTTGTCAGGCTTCTGGCCTGGTGGGAAGGCCTGAGGTCCTAGCCACCTCCACTGGGCTCCTCTAAGCTATCCCAGACATTCTCTCTCTTTTTTTTTTTTTTTTAAAGTTACATTTTGCATTTTTTCTTTTTAAGATTTTATTGGGGAATTGGGGAAGGGGAACAGTGTTGGGGAATCGGGGAAGAGGAACAGCCAAGTTGTTGTCCTTCAATCTTAGTTGTGGAGGGCGCAGCTAGCTCAGTTCCAAGTCCAGTCGCCATCTAGCCGCCTGTTGGCAGCTTGCAGTCACTCAGCTCAAGGTGCCGTGTTCAATCTTAGTTGCGGGTGGGCATAGCCCACCATCCATGCAGGAGTCGAACTGGCAACCTTGTTGTTGTTACCTTATCGAGAGCACATGCTCTCATCCACTGAGCCATCCTGCCACCTGTTGGCAGCTCAGCTCAGGCGCAGCTCACTGGCCCATGTGGGAATCAAACCAGCGACCTGTTGTTCAGAGCTCGCACTCTTAACCAACTGAGCCATTTGGCCGGCCCCTATCCCAGACATTCTTGAGCCCTGACCTCATGCCCACTTCATGGCCAGGCACTCACAGGTACCACCCTCAGACACCAGGCCCACGTGGTACTCGGGATCTTGGGACCAGTGTCCAGGCTCTTATGAAGCCTACACTTGAATGTGAGATACCCCCACACACTCCCTGGGACCACCAGAGGTTTTCGCAGCTGGGAGTCCAGTCAGCTGTAGCTGGGTTCTCACCTGTACCCTGTGAGTTGCGTGTGTCCACAAACCTACACGTGCACATACTCAAGATGGATCCAGATGTGTGCACAGAGCCATCTGTGGACATGCATGCAGCCTAGCACACAGAAACACGGGCACACGGTTTCATACTACAGCTTTAATTTTCACACGATGGCTTTATTTCTTCCAGGGCAGCGGCCCCTCTGGGAGCCTGGGAGCTAGCACCAGGCCATCTGTCCTGCCTTTGTCAAATCTAGGGGAGCACACAGAGGAGTGGGCTCACAGCACTGTCTCTGCCATGCTGCGTTTAGCCAGAAACCTGGTGATGAGTTTGGGGCCCCGCAGGTCTGGCCTGGGGTCCACCCCAACTCCTGCCTCCTGCTGGTCTTCCTCATCCTCCTCCTTCCCCTGGTCCTCAGAGAAGTATAGGAATACCTAGCAGGTGGGCAACCCGGCGGCCCAAGGGGACAGGAGGGAAGGTCAGCCTGAAGGGCTGGGCTCCAGCCCCACCCCTGTCCCCAGACCATCCCTGGTGCTACGGGCACCTCCTCCAGTGTGGTCTGGCTCACTGAGAAGTCCTCTACACCGTGCTTCGCCCCTTGTGTGGCCAGCTCCCCAAAGAAAATGCCAAGGCACAGCGCCCTCCCGTTGGCAGCTGGAAGCGTAGGCGGCTGCCCTGCACCTCTCGTAGCTGGGCTCCTGGGAACTCCGCTGCCACAAAGCCTGCTGCAGGCTCAGAGCTCATCGTGGGCACCCGCACTGTCAGCGTGAGGCCAGTGCCAAATCTGGGGTGGGCGGGCCAGGGCTACTAGACAGGCCCATAGCCCAACCCCCCCACACCACCGTCCCTCAATACCTGGCCCCTCTTGACCTCCTACCCAGCACACGTGACCCTACCCCCCCCCAATCCTTGCCCCATATTGTGCTCATCCCTTCTGGAACCCTGCCTCTCCCAAGACCCAGACCCTGTGCAGGCCCCCTGCACAGACCCACACCACCCTATCAGACCCACACCACCCCATCAGACCCAGACCCCTCCTGGTCCTGTCCTAACCCCTCAACATCTCTATTGGACAGTCCATGATCCTCACCCTCCCCTGTTAGAGCCACGCTGGCCTCTCCTCTGGCCCCACCTGTACCCTCACCCTCACCCTCACCCATCCTACGCAGGCCCTCACACAGGCCCTTAAGGCCTCATCCTCTCATCTGCCCTTGAGATGCTGTGGGCTCCCCAAGCAGTGGAACCACCCATTCACCATGATGGCCAAGTGTGTGCAGAGAGCCTCACACTCTTCCATGCTGTTGGGGACCGAGCACCATGAGTTCCAGCCTGGACCACCTTTCTACTCTGAACACTTCCTGCCTGGCCTCAGACCGCTTGGTTCCGAGAATCAGGTCTACTGCCCTGTGTCCTCCCATTTGGGTCTGGCATCCTCCCTCAGGGTCAGGACCACCCCATCCTGTGTCTGTGTACTGTCTGACATCCTCTCACTGGGTCTACCTCTCTCCCCAGAGCCTGGATCACCTTGACCCACAGCCCTGGGGTCCCAGCGGGGGCTGGGACCTATGCGAAGTGAGCACCACGGAGCGGCCCTCCTGCACCACGGCCAGTAAGCTGTTCCAGAGGAAATGCCGTGCACCAGGGTCCATGCCGGTGGTGGGCTCGTCATGAAAGGAGGCGCAGGTTGCAGGTAAGACGCAGTAAGATCGGCCCCGTCCCCACCCAAGCCCCAAACACACGTACCAGAAAGACCACTGGCGGGTCCCCCACAAGTGCCACAGCCGTTGCCAGCTTCCGCTTGTTGCCTATACTGTAGGTGCCCGTGGGCCAGTCAGCATACTGTGGGAGCCCTAGGTGTGCCAGGCCGAGGCTCGCTGTCTGTGGGCGGACCAGAGTGGCGGGGGACCAGAGTGAATGTGGGGGGACCAAGTGAGAGTTAGAGGGAGGCGACAGTGAGCAGGGGAAACCAGAGTGAACTTGGGACCAGTGGAAGTGGGGGCACCAGAGTGAGTGGGGGGGGGACACCAGAGCAGGGGGGCACCAGAGTGACCTCTGGGGGATCGGAGTGAAATTGGGGCCAGGTAGGGGAAGCACAGTGAGTGGGGACAGGTACAGTGAGTGGGTGGAACCTGGGCACAGGGCAGGACAAGAGGGAGGATAGGAGCGGTGGGACCAGGGCTAGGGCTAGGATGGGGTAAAGGTAAATAAAGGGGGTGGGGCCAGAGCAAGCATAGGGTGGGACTGACACCTGGGGGGTGGGACCTAGGAGGATGGGGGTGGGGGGGCTCTAAGTCCTCAGCCAGAGGTGGAGTCATGGGGAGTGGGTGAGTGCCTGGATGACTGTAGGAAGCAGTGGTGGACCCACATGAATATAGGAGCTGGGGGAGGGCAGAGGCAGGGTTCAGAGGATAGAGGGCAGGTGGACCTGGGCTCAGGGCATAGCCAAAGAGAGCCAGTTTGGGCTGGCATCCAGAGGCCCTGGTTAGGTAGTGGGTCACCTGGGCAACCTCGGCCTCCGGGATACCACGCAGGCGTGCAAACAGCTCTAGGTGCTCACGGCCAGTCAGCAGCTCAAAGATGGCATCTGACTGAGGGCAGTAACCCATGTGGTGGTGCACAGTGACTGGTTCCTGGGTCATGCTGAGGATGGTAGACAGGGGGTTCAGGGAACTGGCTAGGCCCCAGGCATGCTAGGACAAACACAGGGACCCACCCACCTCAGACCACTCTGGTAAGGGACGGGATATCTCAGGGCCCACCCTGGTCATGTGTGGGAATGTTGCAGGCTCAGGGCCCCACCCCCATCTATGGCCCCCTCACCTGTGGCCTGCCAGAATGGCCTTACCCCTGCTAAGGAGTGTGTCCCTAGTCACCATGCGAAATGTGGACGTCTTCCCTGCTCCATTCACACCCAGCAGACCAAAACACTGCAATGACACCCACGGAGGGCATTTGACAAGGCCTCAGATCCAGTGCCTCTGATTCTGGGTGGGTTTCTAAGTTTCTGCATGGAGAGGGCTCTGGGCAAGTGGGACCCCTGGGGCAAATACTGGAGTGTAGAGGGAGGCAGAAGGCTGTCACTTAGCAAGTAGTGGTTATTGGCACATGGGATCCTGGAGCACAGTAGGTATCCTATAAAGGTCATAAACAGCAAGTGTGCCATACATATCAGAACTCGAGATTTCTGAATGTTTTCTGCCACATGGGGGCGGGGGGTACTCAGTCTGAGTGCAGTCAGCCCAAGCTGGAGCTGTTGGCTAGCACACAGTAGGTACTTGATAAAGGTTACCAGCATGTGTGTGGGCACCCAATAGGTGCTCTATAATGAATATGCTTGTCCTCAGTACGGTCTTACTAATACCTTATTGCACACAATAGGGCTTTAAATGCAAGCATGCAGTTGGTGCTTAATGAGAGTTTGTGGGCTTAAAATAGGAGCTCAAACGTCAGCAGCCAGTAGGTTATAAATACAGGGCAAAAGGCACACAGGTGTTCAATCCAGGGCAGTGGGCATGCAGTAAGGCGGGCTCTCACTGCCCCTGCAGCAGGACCTCCACGCTGGACTCACCTCACCGGGGGGGATCCCCAGACATAGGTGGTTTGATAGCTGGTGTCTTCTGCCCAGGGTATACCTGGAAGGAGTGCAGGACCCTGAGAAAGTTTGGTGGACCAGTGGAAGCACCCCACCCAGCACTCTGCACTAACCTTGGTCAGGTCCCACAGTACCAACACATCTCCCTGGGTGGCCCCTTTGGACCACACGTTTCCACTCACGGGCCACATCCTCATCCTCCTCCCCCAGGGAGGGCAGCAGCTTCAGCTTGGGTCTAAGGACAGACACAGAGTGGGCCCAAAGCCGAACCCCAGGCCCTGCCACCCTGCCCTGGTCCCCACTGACTGTGGCAGGAGGTATGTGCAGTGCTGTAGCAGGAGTGGAAAGAGAAGGAAGAGGGGCCCTTGTACCACCATGGCCAAAAGGTTCTTGCCAACCACCTCCCAGCGCAGGGATGACTGGAACTGCCTGTCTCCTGTGGGAACAGGAAAGAAAGATTGTGTCCTTAAAGAGGCTTGGTTTCTGAGCCCCTCCCCATCTAGGTCACCTTGAGTTCTTAAGGGACCAAGAACTGGATAGGCCACTCGACTGGAGTCTAATTGATATAGGAAACAATGGTATCACAATCTCCCTTATTTAGGGAGATTATTTAGGGCCTTAGACCTCTTGTGATGTAACCCAAGATGGAATTAGCTTCTATGGCTGCTTTTCTGTACCTCTAATTTGACACAAACTTGGGGTCACCTAAGACCTCCAGCTCTCTTCCTGGGGGCTGCTGTTTGTCCCTACCCTGTATAATTGAATCTTGGCTGGCACTTCCCCATCCTGAGGGAAGTTCTCACCAAAGCGCTCAAAGGCATTAGCCATGGCCTGGTTCCGCACCATGTGGATGAGCCCCTGATCCAGGCAGAAGTGCGGGAAGATAAAGAAAATCTGTTTTAGGATCCAGCTCACCTTCTACAGCTTCTGTTCAGGGGAAGGAAGAGAGAGGTGGGTCAAGAGCTAAGGCCCCAGTCCAGCCCCAGCCTGAGGCCCAGCCTTGCAGGCTCCCACCTGATCAGAGAAGAGCTCAAGCACAAAGGTGGCCATGCTGCCATTAATGCCAATAAAGAGGCTGATGCAGGTGAGCACCACGTATTCTGTGCTGGGCACAGAGAAGAAGGAAGAGGCTGGGTACATGAGCGGCATGGTTGACCAGCTGAGGGGCAAAAGAAGTTGCCAAGTAACCACTCAGAGGGCTGAGCAGCCATGAAAGGAATATAGATCTCCCCTCCCATCTTCTGCACTATAGCCCCCTATTAATGAGAGTTGAGCTAAGATGAGCTTTTAAGGCCACTTTGGCACACTATTGAATTAGATCTCACTTGGGGTCACCTCAGACTTCCATATCTTCTTCCTCTCCTTGGGCACTGCTACTGAGTCCCATCTCCCTCAACAGTATTGGTGGGAAGGGGAGGTCATTACTGAACAGGCCCTGAGGGTCTGGGGGCCTCACCCATACAGTAGCAGCAACAGCAGGAGGGTTGGCAGGTTGGCAGGGGCCACGTATGCCCTCTGCTGGAAGACCAGAAAGATGAGCACCACAATGCATGCTGGCACCAATTAATTACACTGCGTAAGAGATGGCAGTTACCCTCAACTGTGCAGGGGTGGGCACTGCCACCCTCAGCCCCATAACCTATTCTAACCTCCCTGCATTTGGGGTAGTAGGACATGAGGTCTCCCACAGTTCCCAAAACTTCACCCCGGCCATCCTGGACAAGTTCCTGCCCAGAAAGGGGCCAGAAGGAGCAGTGGCAAGTGGTGGCTGGGCCCCCACCCCTCTGGGCAGTCCCTGTACCATGTCCCAGAGAAAGTTGCCAAGCCAGTAGAGTGTGGGGGCAGGCCCTCCGTGAACTGCAGGTGTTTGGCTCGGGTGACACGCTCCTCAATGAGGACAAGGGTGAAGATGGCTGGGACAAAGGACATGGCAAACACCATGCAGAAGGAGACAAGCACGTCCACAGAGGAGGCCATCTTGAGGGCAGGGGTGCATGAGCTACTCAGGGCAGAACTATGCATGTCACTGATGGGACCAAGGTCCACAGGGCTGGTCACTGGTCGGGGAGATATCCCAAGCCATTTTGGGGTAAGGGTGGATGGGTCATTTGGCAGGGAGAGATTGTACAGGTCTAAACTAGAATAAAGGTTGATGTGATGAGGATGTGCAGGCCATTGGGGGAGCCTGGAGTCCACTGAGCCTGACGATGTCCCATTACCCTGGCCTAGGGAGTGGACAGGGGCATTTTATGTTCCCCATTTAAAAAGCAAGAGTGTGCAGAGTGCAAATCCATCTCCTACCATCCAAAAACAACAAGAAAACAGGTGGGGGAGGACACGGGGCAGAGAGACTCACAACATAGCCTCAGACAGCTGCTCCTTGGTGAGGTTCAGAGGGTAGTTGAGCGTTGTGATGCTGTACACATGGCTGGCAGGGCCTGGGGGCAGGCAGGCATGTAGGAGTGCGTTGTTGGCTCGGTTGACAAAGGCACCATGGTGTGCCAGCCCTTGTTGTTGAACCAGATCTAGGGTAGGGTCAGGGCCGAGGGGTCAGGATAATGGGGTCAGCCCTACCCCTGCCAGTCACCTGCCCGCTACCCCGTTTCCACCTTGAGGCTGTCTTGGGCGTCTAGGGCATGAGCCCCCTCTGTGAAGTTGTTTAAGACACTGTCAAGGGTCCCACTAGGTTGGGGGCTCAGCAGCACATGCAGCTTCTCCAGTGAGAGGCCCACCGCATGCCTTGAGGGCAGGCCCATGTCTCGGCCCCCCCAGGGAAAAGCCGCCATACTTGTGGGGAGTGGGAGCAGGGAGGGGGAGCTGTGGGCCAGGGAGCATGGGATGGGAGAGCCCCTCAGTGGGCAGGCAGAGGGTACAGGAAGGAAACCCAGGGCAGGGGCCCCGCCTCACCTGACTTCATTCACCCATTTCTTAATCTTTAGACTGTGAGAGAGATAGAGAGATGTGAGTGAAAAAGAGACAGTGCCGGATGCTGGGGGGTGGGGTGAGACAAACAGAAAGTGGTGAGACGTGGAGGGCACTCAGGAGGCCCCCAGCCCAGACATCCACCCTGACCTCCCTGGGTACCAGACTATCTCCCAGACCTGAGGACCCATGTGACAGCCAGGCACACTGAGTTTGGCAGTGGCTCACCCCTGGTGCACCAGGCGCAGGTAGGTCTTGACCAGGAAGACGGATAGGTTCTGGCCCGTCAGATTCTGCACAATTTCACCTGGGCTGGTCAGCGCCTGGGGTGGTGGTGGGGCACTGGACATGGCAGGGCAGTCGGGTAGCAGGCGGCGGGCACCAGGCTGGCTGCATTGGCAGGCAGGGGATGTAGACTCCAAGGACCAGTTGCCACTGGCCAAGACTTTGGCCACGTCTGTGGGAAGCTCAGGAATCGAGAACCGGCAGACATTGGACTGTGTGCACTCAGGTGCCCTGTGGGGGTGGGACAGGGCTGTGGGCACCCCACTTCCAGGGTTCTGAAATGTGGAGGCTCCCAGGTCCCAAGTAGGGATGGGGGATGCTGTGGGCACCCCTAAGAACCACTGGCCAGAGCCCAGATAGGGAAACCAAGACCAGAAAGAGGCAAGGTCCAGTCTGGGGGCCTCACCTGTGGGAGCTATTCTGCAGGTAGGGGTCCTCCAATTCTGCCTCTTCCAGCAGAGCTTCCAGCAGGTGGGCATGCTCAGTGTCCCCTGGAGCGTCCTCACTGTGGGAGGTGCAGGGTCAGGGCTGTGCCCATGGGTTCCTGGCCCTCTCACCACCAGGCCCTTCTCCTTTTTTTTTTTTTTTTTTTTTTTTTTTTTTTTT